GGGTCTTTTAATCATAGTGGAACACATGAATTTAACCCCCCTTGAAATCAATACTGACTCAACTAATATTATGCACATGATAAATAATAACAACTTGCTCTATGATAATTCGATTGTTGAGTGCAAGTACTTAATGATGAAGTTGGAAATCATCAAGTTGTTCCATATGTTTTGAGAGAGAAATAAAATTGCGGACACTTAATCAAAAGAAAGGAACAAAGATAGCAGCTTTTGATGAACCTACTGTTTTGATAATTCCTTCCGTGTTTGTTCAATATGAGGTGAAAACAGACATTCTAGAAACTAGTAATGCTAGGATAACAAACAACCATATTAACATTTCTCAAGGTCATATGGCCGAAACAATTACTAAAGAAAATAAGCTGAAATAGACTAAAATACCTTCAAAATAATTATTCTGACCATAAGTTGATATGTTAACGGGGAACTACTTTAACTCTCACTTATAGAATAAGATTCTATAGATGTGTATTTATAGAGCCGTTAAAATGGGCTTAGTCTATGAAACTAATTCAACCGATTTGTTATTGAAGTAGGGTTGAGATACGATTTTTCAAGTCCATTTAAAATTGTTAGGCTTATACGTCCAATCCAAATAAGCACTTGGCCCTTGAGACTTGACCAAGGCTGGGTGAGGATCGGCCCATGAGTCAAAAGTATTTGTTTAATTTGAATTAAAATAATTAAAGTTGTAAGGCCTTATTATACTTTAATTTACAAGTTTGTTTTTTAAATTTCCTTTACTTATTTATTTGTCAAAAAACCTATTATTATTTTGTTTAATATTTTTTGCTAGAATTAGTGAAACGAATCTGTTTGCCTCATTTGATTTTAAAATTTTCTCATTTTTCTGATGTTATATCTTTCAAATATGGGATTGTAATGGGAAGCACCACTAATCACATGTATAATGTATGTTATGATTGTAATTATTAAGTACTTTTATATAAATTTATTAGATATTTAAAAACTTAATATATATATATATATATATTTAAAATTTTATGTTTTGGTTGTATTGTATTATATGAATATTATTAGATTTATGATATTTAGAGGAATTGAGACTTAACTTTAAGCTCGAAAATTTAGGAATATGAGACTTGACATATTAGTTGGCACCTAGAGTTATGAATTTAGTTATAAATTAGAGTGAGTTGTGGGTCTAGGTTAGTCATATAGTAACATGGGTGTCTATGGACTCATTTGCTTACGAATTATGCATATTTTGATAGACTGGGAACGTTCGAAAGCCTTACGAAAGGGAAAAGCAAAATTTTGAGGATTTGTGACACGTCGGCATTCAAGGTATGTTAAGACCTTATATTTCGTTGAAGGACGTTTTTCTAATTAAAGATTAAAATGAGAATAGACAATGGGTAAGGGCGAAAGATGGGGGTTTCTACCAATGGTGTGACCTCATTGGTACGAGTACCAATGTTATAAAAGGGAAAGTTTATTACTATAGAATGTTGATTGTAATCCGAGAATGCCAAAACATGTGGGCATTATCTGATGTATTATTGACTTGAATTCTTTTGTGTGATTCTATTTCTTTATTGAACCCATATATTTGTCATAGTTGAGGTGATTATATATCCTACTGATATTTGATTGATTGAGATACAACATCATCCCCTTTTATTGAAATCATATTGTGCACATGCATTGACATGAGATTGAGAGTAAGTTGGGCACGTGGAGATCGTCCGCGCTGGGATTGTGAGATGTTAAGATTATAATTTAGGCACGTGAAGATCGTCCATGCAGAAATTATTTGATTTTATGATAGTGCGTTGAGATCGTCCGCACAAACGCGTGGAGATCGTCCGTATCGGTATATGGACCTCACGAGTCCCCATGGGTTATGAACTCTCGATGTATTTTCGAGAAGCATCATGTATATACGGTTGCGAGAATACTTGTCATCTGAGGCATAACATTTCATTATGTCACATTGCATTGCATCTCATTGCATCCTTCATTCTTGTTGATTATGTGTTTTATTGGTGGATGGATATTGCGTGATATTTGATTATCCATATTTTGATGAAACCTGACTGGTAAGTATAACATAGACTAGTATAAGTAAAAAGATGATTTTCTTATATGAACTCCTGTCACTACTTCTTCGTTGTCAGTTGATCTATGAGATATACTGGTACACGTGGTTTCGTACTCATACTACAATTATTGCACTCTTTGTGGTGCAAATTCGATTTTGCATACAAGCACATCTCGTGGAGCTTTTTGAGTCCGAGTTTGAAGTATCTTGGAGTTGTGGTGAGCTGTTTGGTTGTTCCGTGGCCCACACCTCCCTCTATCTTTTATTTATTCTGTTGCTTTAGTATTCAAATAAGATATCTCTTATGTTTAGACTTATCATTTTAGTTTCAGACTTGCACCATATTTAGAAGTTCTTGTACTTGTGACATATTTACACTTTATCAAATATATAAACTCTTAATTAGATACATGTATATATTTTGTTAGATGCATGTAACCTACTTAGATACATAGTTTGACCACTCATAACATAGTATTCCTATAATATTAAGCACTCTTGATCATATCTCGAAAGTGTATATTTATCGCTTAAATTATAGGGGATTATATATAATGAATTTTTTTTTGTACGATTAGAATACTTCTTTTAATTGATATTTTTTTCCCCCTCCCATTGTGTACGTAGTTACCATTCAACGGTTGACTTTAAAAGTTATTAATCATGATATATACGATAAAACCTTGGACTAATACACGTTATTACAAACCTTTCTTAAATAGTACTAATAGAATTGTACAAATTTTATTTTTTATATTAGGTCAAATACTACTTAATTAATTTAAAAGTATTAAATATTATGATTATTTTATTAATCTCTAAATATTAAATATTAGAAATAATTATTTGCAAGAAATAATAAATAATAGTTATGGTCCTCGTAAGTATTGGATTAGGATTACTAGTGATAATCGTTTTGGGATAATATTATAAATACTAAATAGGTTTATGGGATATTAATCACCGTGCTCTACTATTTACATTAAATAATTTGAGGTTTGTACTGTTTACATATAATCAATAGATGTATTTATTCGTCATATTTATTGATTGTATCTCTATTGTTACTTGAAACCAATGTTTTGTGTCCTAAGTTAGAAGTCTGAATACAAGTTCATCAACTTTTGTTCAAATAATGTATAAATACTAAGTTTAGCATCCAGTTATGAACGGTCAGATGTTGTTTGGGTTGTTTCCTGTTGAGAAATTTGTTGTATGTTTCAATTTTCATATCTTTTGATTAATTTCAGATCAGTGAATAGTAACCGCGTCAAAATTATGAAAGTAGAGGACGATAATGAGGAGTCGTTGAAGCAGCAGCTTCCAGATGAAATTATATATCAAATCTTGACATTGTTACCGCTATCATCTTTGTTCAAATTCAAATGTGTTTGCAAGCTATGGAATACCTTATATTTGCACCCTGATTTCACCAAACTTCGTGATGAGTTACGTAGTTTGCATTTGAATGATGTCAAAATTAATGCTGCAATGTTAAAAGCTCCATTCGCAACAATTAGTCGAAGTATTGAAGGGTTATGTCTGCAGAAAACAGTGTTCTCTTGTCCTTTGAGATACCGTATATATAGCCCAACATTTCACCAAATGCAAACAATCCCAAATCCGCAAAATCCTAGTATTTACATGGCGTTGGAGTTTGTTTCATCGTTTAACCAAGAAGCCGTCAAGTTAGTTTCTATTCATAAAAATGAGCATTATTCATTAGGTTATGAGATTTTGGCTCTGAGGATTGGGATTTATCAAAATATCTACACTTGGTATATCGAAACAGGGGATTTTCGTGACGATGTTGATTTGGAAATTGATGTTTTGGATATGGTTAATGAGAAATACATTGGTCATACTACTTTTCCTGCTGGTTTCGTGTTCCCAAAGTTTAGCTTGAGACACAATGACCTCTTTGATTGGAAGGGTATGCTTGCATTCGATCAACAAGTAAAAGATGCGCTCCATGTCTTGGTATTTAACAGATTACAGAGAGTTGAAATGGGATGAAAGCAAGCGGAATTCACATTTTATAGTAGTGATTATTTCATGCTTTCTTTAGCATTTTTTATAATGGCTTCTTCGCTCTTGTGTTGTTACCATTTTCTCTCATGCTCCCCTTTTTTTTTTTTTTTCATTTTATATGAATAATAATAAAATAACATTGTTGGCTTTTCATGCTCTTCACATTTGATCCATGTCTTCCAATAATGACATAAGCTATTCTTTGTGCTAATCAAACACTAGATTTCTGGACGGTAGGGGCACCAAGATCCCAAAAGTATATAACGGAGGATATCTGCATACCATTTATAATAGTTTGGGGGTATCTTTTCCTTTTTCCCTTATATATATAGTTCTAGTACAATGTGATTTATAACATTTTTGTCTAGTCGCCCACAATTCATGGCTTTGTTTAAAGTATATAAAAGAATCTAACTTGATAGAACCTTGTGCAGGTTAAAGTAAATATTCATATGATTTCAGCATAAATAACTTTAAGCCCCGAGAGATATAAAAAAAAGTACATTATGAAATATATCAACACAATATATTGTGTTATATTATACAACAAAATATTACATGATCAACCATACATATGAAACTCAATGCAGGTTTATTCATACGAATTTTTTTAGGAAGGTTTAGAGTAGCAAGACTATTACTATTATAGATCTTGCCAGTATGTACAATGGTTTTATAATATTACATGATGATTTGTTTTGAGGCAATTGGCTAATCGATCACTTATTCATGGCGTTCACAGGAAGGATTGTATCCATCACTAGGGGATTTATATTTATAATGTGGAGGGTTATATTTACCACCTGGAGGTTTGTATTCGTGACTAGGAGATTTATATTTGTCACCTGGAGGTTTGTACTCATCACTAGGGGGTTTATATTTGTCATATGGGAGGGTTATGTTTGTCACCTGGAGATTTGTATTCGTCACTAGGGAATTTATATTTGTCATGTGGAGGGTTATAGTTGTCACATGAAGGTTTGTATTCGTCACTAGGAGGTTTATATTTGTCATGTGAAAGGTTATATTTGTCACCTAGAGGTTTGTATTCGTCACTAGGAGGTTTATATTTTTCATGTGGAGGGTTATATTTGTCACCTGGAGGTTTGTATTTGTCACTAGGAGGTTTATATTTGTCATGTGGAGGGTTATATTTGTCACCTGGAGGTTTGTATTCGTCACTAGGAGGTTTATATTTGTCACTTGGAGGTTTGTATTCATTACTAGGAGATTTATATTTGTCATGTGGGGGGTTATATTTGTCGCCTGGAGATTTGTATTCATTACTAGGGGGTTTATATTTGTCATGTGGAGGGTTATATTTGTCATCTGGAGGTTTGTATTCATCATTAGGAGGTTTATATTTGTCATGTGGAGGGTTATGTTTGTCGCCTGGAGGTTTGTATTCGTCACTAGGAGATTTATATTTGTCATGTGGGCGGTTATATTTGTCACCTGGAGGTTTGTATTCATCACTAGGGGGTTTATATTTGTCATCTGCATCTGGAGGTTTATACTCATCACTAGGGGATTCATATTTGCCATTTTGAGGGTTATAATCACCACTTGGAGGGTTATATTCACCACACCTAGGTTTATATTTGTCATGTGGGGGATTGTATTCGCCACTTGGAGGGTTGTATCCACTATGTGGGGGTTTATTTCCACCACTTGGAGGCGTATATCCATTGTTATATTCACCACCAAGAGATTTATATCTATTGTTATAATCGTCATGTGAGGGTTTATATCCACTACCTTGGGAATTATATCCACCACGTGGAAGATAATATCCGCCACTAGAAAATTTATATCCATTGTTATATTCCTTATGTTCATCTCCGGGATATTTGTCAATGTCATTATATCCATCATTGTGTACATCATCCGATTTCATTGCTACAAATATCAAATGTGAAATTTAAAAACTAGCATAACATTGAATAAATGTCAAATTATTAGATAAGAAATCCAATATTTCAAATAGATAATTAATAAAGGGAAAAGCACAATAAACTTACAGGTCTCAGCCAACTCCCTAGCTACAACCTCAGAGCTTATTATTGCAAAAATAACCAAAAAAATGCCAAGAAACAAAAATGCCTTGGAACCCATCATTTCTTTTCTTTTTGAAAACTTAGTTATCTTAATTAAAGTATGAAGAAATTGATACAACATTGGGTTATATTTATACTAAAAGAATTCAATGTATTAGAAATTGATAAACGGTCACTTATCACTTATCTTGCCCAACCACCACACATCGATTATATTTCCTTTATTTCAATTTATTTGTATTATTTTTGTAGTTTGTTTTAAAAAAGAAGGTAGTATATATACACACGTTGTTCTAATTTGTACAGATACTTTGATTTTTAATCTCCTAATTACTTTATGTGTTCGAATTTGGTTTCTCTTTTGATGAAAAGGGTAAAGGATTTTATTCTTCTCTCTATTGTTACTTTGAAAACAATACTTATGTTAGTACTCTGACATTTTAATATTAATAAAAATATATTATATACCTAGACACAATGTGCAACAATTTTTGTCCTTTGGTGGGCATTAGTATGCCCTTCATTACTCTCACTTACATAGCCTCATAATGTTGCATTTTCAAAAAATAAAATAAAATGTCCTAGTAAGTAGGGATGTTATATATCTTGAGAATAAGTATAAGAGGGGGGTTTGACCTTTCCTCATAATACAACACAAGGATAAATAATTTGCGAAACTGTCTCCTTTCCTAAGCTTGAGAATCCCTATTATGTTTCCAACCTGAACTTACCTTTAGAGCCTCCCGAGCTCTAGGCTCGACCACGTTCACTCTTCCATCTTCAGCTAGTCTATTCTGCACCCCCTAGCAACATTCGTCCGTCTGAACATTGGAACGGTAACGAAAAAAATGCACCTCTAAAAACTAGTAAATTAACTAACAAAAAAGTTTGCTTTGTTGCGTCTGAGTCTAATGGACCGCAATTGGCTTTTGTCTAGTTGACAAGAGCCTTTTGCACCATTAGGCAAATACTAAAGAGAGTTGAAAACTTGGCTATTTTGACTATTGTTTGTCAATTTTTCTAGATGATCCGCAACCATATTAGCCTTCCTTAGGCAGTGACTAGCTTTAACATTAGCTTGCTTTATCATTTGCTGAATCTTCCTAAAACAATTCGATGACATATTCAGTAATATCTTATTTTATGATATCCTATATATAATAACAATTATGGAAGAAAGTGCCATAATCTGCCCAACATTTTTGCTCGACCTGTTTGCCTTTGTTTCCTGTAGAATTTAACGGAGTACCAACATATGCTGGATTCTTACACTTTGTTTGCATGGTTGTTACATATTGTTTCATAATATATCATATTGTATTTTATTGTGTTGTATTGTATCCTACTATATTGTTTTAATGAATATAGTGTTTGTATATATTGTATTCATGTTATCCGTCGTTACATAATGTCACACATCCATAATTTGAATGATAAACCTACAAGGAAAGTAGGGTACGGAGTAGAGTGTTAAATTGGGTCTTAGGCCTAACTCACACCCCAAAAGCTAGCTCAAAGGGAGGAGGATTGCCCAAGCCTTATAAGGAGTCCACTCATCTCATTAACCACCAATGTGAGACTTTTTTCTTTTTAAACACCCCACCTCACGCCCAGTGCGTAGCATCTGGTGCGTGGGTAATTTTGATTTTTTTTGGGTCCCAACATTGGGTGAGATGGACGGACTCCTTATAAGTCTTGGACAATCCTCCTCCCTTTGAGCTAGCTTTTGGGGTGTGAGTTAGGCCTAAGACCTAATTTAACATGGTATTAGAGCAGACAGAGATCCTGAGATCGAATCTCACTGCCACCCAAAAAATAAAAAGAGTTTCCACGTGTTTGGCCCATGAAAAAAATTAGTCCCACACGTGAGGGGGCGTGTTGAGAATATAATTAAAATAATAAAAATGTGCTCTCTCTAACAGCTTAAGTTTTTAGATGAGATGGTCACACACTTCAACATCTATGAAAAGATAAAATAAAAGATGAAATATGATTATTAAATGATAAATAAAGACAAGAAAACAACTAAAAGGGTCATTTTTGTATGAGAAGACTTTGATAATATTTACTAAAATAGTCATAACGTTTTACTTGAAACTCGGATTGACACAAAATTTATGGCGTCGGAAAGAAGATTCAAATACCTTTAATTTGATAGGTTTTGGGCCACACAACTCTTTATATTATAAGAGATATGATCGTTTGAAGTTGACCCAAGTAGAATCTTACATCAAAACTTAATCGCTAAGGAAGCTTTCAACTCAACTTTGTGCTAGGGGATTATTGTGGCCTTAATTCATCTCCAAATTTATTCTCACACTAAAGAATGGACCTTTACACATATGATCAATTTAAGAATCACCTGATACGACCTTACATGTAAATGAAGAATTGTTTGAGTCTTAACTTAGAAATTATCGGGTGTTAAAACTACAATATTGATGATTTAGACATATTTATGTATTTAAAAGTAATATGAAATATTATACAAATAAAAATGATACTCTAATTGGCATACTCAATTAGATCAAGTATCAATTCTATTTTTAAATAATTCTACTATTTCTAGAATATTTTCATAGTTTATATAATAATTTACTCAATTGAAAAAGTTTTCAAAAGTATAATCAATAAGAACTTAACTATGATATAACATTTGTGATGTTATGTAACATACAATAACTTATATATGTTTATTCTTGTCTTACGAATTATTATAAGAAATATTATACTGTCAAATTAAAAAAACAATTATCAAATTATAATTAAGTATTTATTACATGTAAATAAAGCAATGTTAATATATAAAGTGCAAAAATAGTTCTCTTAACTTTTAAAGTATGGTAGAATTCCAAAAAAGTTGACACCTTGGTACCCATTAGTATAATAGTTAAAAACTTTAGCACCTAATGATAAAGATACCTTAAGAAACATAAGTTAACCATTATGAAATTTTGTAATGTGTTATTTCCAGCAACTCATGCTTGGGGGATTAATAAAACAATCATGTCCTATCTAATATACTAGATAGGTGCGGCTCATGTTTAGCACGGGCCCAACATTAAATATTTTTAGGATATAGTTAATTCTATGTGTTTGGTAGTGTAGTGGTTAAGGATAAAACAAAAGGAAAACGCATTAAGCTAAAATTGTTTTCTTGTATCCTTAAATGCTAGTAATATATTGCATCACACATCTTCTTTGACACTGAGGTGCATGTAGATGACAGAACTAACAATCTCAAGCCATATTTTACTATAGAATCAAGGAAATTAAATTACAAACCATCAAATAAGGAGAGAACTTTCAAAAATGACATATTTGCGGAAGATGCAACAAAACTAATATTCACAGATACAAATACATCATTATTGAAGTATGTCTAACAAAATACTTCATTTTTCAATGTAGAATGCATTTATTAAGATGTAGGCAATTCACATATCAAAACAAAAAAAAAACAAAAATATATAATAAAACTATTGTGTATTGCATTTTATATATCAAAACAAATTAACATAAAAATTAATAACAAAATTGCCCATCTAATACACAAATCTTCTAGTCAATTTGAGATCGTTAAAGCTCTTTAGTTAACCATCTTCATATTTCCTCAAAACATACACATGGTAAATTTATCTCAGAAATATGAAGCTTTAAAGGTTCACTAGATCTAGAAAAAGACTCGTGCCACTTGTGAACCCCATATAATGCCATTGTTTATGATATATAATATCAAAGTCTTCTCATACGGTCTTTTGTAGGGACCTACATAACAACTCACCTTTATAAGATCCAACTTTCTTTAAGTATGTTCCTGGACCTTAGAGGTTAGTATATTCTAAGGACATGACATTTTATACCTTACCTCTTAATATGAGCTACTCGTAGATGATATTAGCATCTTCTTTGTTCTCCTTTTCATTCTCTTCCCCTGGAACTCTAAAAAGCTCCTGAATATTTATAGTATTATTAATTATTTGGTCCATCTGCGAAATGAGAGATTGAATTCAATATTAGAATCTCACCATGAAACCTTAGGGGAAAATCTCAATTTTTTAAATGTATATAAAATAAAATAAAAACTTTATACAAGTGAACTTCAACAAAACAAATTCAAAGGAGGAGGGAATACAAAGAGTAAGCTAAAAAAATTGGTGAACCTCTCGAAATATCGGCGTATACACAGAATGTAACACCTCGTATCCTAGATAGATCAAAATGCAGATTTTGAGAAGTTGCAGGTGCAAGCCACAGTTGCATCCACGAACAATAGGTCAGACCACAGCCCGTACTGGTGGTCCGTGGTTCACCACTACAACCCTTCCCCAAACCCAGCTCAAAAAGTCAGCTAAGTCTTGACCCACGGACAGACCCATGGTCCGTAGGTCAGACCACGGTCCGTGGATCAAGACTCCTTTACCCAGCCTCCGACATGAACTACGGTCGACCAGCATGGATCGTCGTTCAATGCTCGGTCCGTAGGTCTGACCATAGATGAGGGAGGAAAAATTGTTGATTGGGTCAACTTCAAATGGTCATAACTCTTAGCACAAAATGAATTATGGGTCCCATGAACTATGATATGATAGATAATTGAATCCTCTTTCCAATTCCACCAAGTTAGCTAAAATACAACCTCCGAGTAATACGTTATGCTCGTTTTAGTGAAGACCTACCGGATAGACTTGATCGACGGACCCAAACGACGGCCGGTAGATCAAACGATGGACCGTCGTTCCTTCCGTGGGTGGGCTTCGCCAGAATTAAGTTAGGGTTGTTTTGGTCTTTTTCGTATTTCGTTGGACCTTTAAGCTACGTCGTTTACACCCTAAAGCATGATGTTTTAGTCAGTTTAAGCCTAGGAACATAACTAGAACTTACCTATGTCAAATCATTGATCAAAACTTAGAAAATTTATAACGCTAAGAGGAGAAAGAAGTCAAGAACCCTAGTTCAAGAACGCAACAAGTTTTCTTCAATTCCAGCCCAGAAATCAAAGGATTTCTCCGTGAAATTCATCACCAGGTATGTGGGATTTCACTAGTGGGTACCTTTCAC